TTCGGTCCATTTTTTGGCCCAGACAAAAACTGCACCCAGGCTGAATGTAAATGTAACTCTCTGTAAATCCACTCTCTGACACTAGGTGGCACTTTAGGAACAGTAGAATTAGAACTGTTTCCCGTAACCTCCGAGGACAAAACAGCATTGCGCTTAAAACATTACTTTATTAGGTATTACATGGAGCGAAGACGAAAACAAAATGCCATCAAATCTTTTCTGAAGACAGTCAGAATATTCAGAGGTCCATTCATATAATTAATTCATCCATATATTCATTTGTATAATTCCCTTAGCACTCTTTAAAACCTCCCAGCTTTTCCTCCATTTTTTCACACAAAACTAAACCACTCTGCTGCTGTGTTACTTAAAACTGTGTTTTATGCTGCAGGGCTCCAGACTCATTCTTCCCTACTGGTCGCTCTTTTGTGACTAACTATCTCAGTTGGTCACACGAGCACATGATTTGGTCGCAATTTTTTTGTTGTTGTTTTTTTTGGGTGTTAATCAATGCATGCTGATGAACTTTTATCATAGTTTATAGTTATATGAAAACGAAAGTGGGTAACATTCACCCCTTCTTTTCCATCAGTATTATTTGTGATTTATATTTTGTGAACGGGAGTTCCTCTTTTGCTGTGTTATAAGCCGGGCTTCGGGTGCTTTCACTTTTGAATTTGCGATCTTGGTGTCACGTTTTACAAGAAAAGATAATTGTCTAATTTGCTTACATACATCTACACAGTACACACCTTTCACTTTTTAAGACTAAAACAAAAGATGGATTCATTGTTATTCTTAATTAAAAAGCATAACAACAATAAAACAGTAAGATACAATGACAAACTAGCTTATAAAATGTTTATTAACAATAACGAATAAGACGAGGCATGGCATACACCACATGTTGTATGATATACTGACTATTAAATTACAGAATGTTTAGCAAACACTGAGGAATCAAATAAATAAAAAGACAGCCTCCATAGCATAACATGAGGTAAACAGCAAAGATAACAAGCTTTTCAAAATGAAAACAAAAAGAAAAGTAAAACTAAACTTGCTGTCCGTGACAGTGTTTGCGTGTTTTTCCCCCCACAAGAATACCAACATGTTCACCTTTGGTTTAAGAAGCGGTCTTTTACTTTACTTTAGCATGAAACCCATCCATCGTTTCCTCAATATTCGCGTCATTTTTGCTGCAAACAGCTTCGCACTCCTGCTGACGCGGCGAGTAGGCTATAAACCAGGCTCTACACTCTATAAGTGCTGCGCAGTTCAAACAAGTAGGGCTGTTTCGTTATGCTTTCAGTTTTGTTTGCCATTTGATGTTTCTCATATGCAACAGAAATGTCAGTGCTTATGAGTTAAACAATGCGGTGGTCGCGCCAGTGCGACCGCACACAAAATTTAGTCGCACCGGCAGAAAAAATTATTGCAAAATGCGCCCATCTGGCTGCACACTGGAGCCCTGTGCAGTACATTATTTATTTATCCTCAGTTGTTCAAATCGCGGTAATCGAATACGGTTATAGTGATAATTAAAATTTGAAACGGTAACACTAACTGTGGGGTATTTTATCACGATTTATCGTCAAACCGGTAATCATTACATCCGTAGTGCATTTACATAAACATTAAATGCCATTAGCTAAAATGCGGAGGGGCTCACCTTGTCGTCTGCGTCTTTTATGAAATTCTGTCCTTAAAAGGACAGGCTGGTTACATTGTCCAAATCATCTATGAAGAGCCCCTACCAATGAAATATAATCATTTCTTTTCAGGACTCAGTAACAGGAGACAGGCAGCTGCATCATCAGTGAGGCACACTGCTAACTGCTGAGCTTTATGATTTTCAGACCAGCCTGCAGTATCAGCCAACAGTTCAAATTGGGCTTTGAATGCATTCCAATCCGTCTTACCAGAGAACTGTGGTGTTTTAGCGTGCATGTCACAGTCTCTGATGAATTCGTCGTGGGCCTGGGAGCCGCCATGATTGTTTACACTCTGTCTTCCCGTCATCGCTAGAGTGCGTTGTGCCTTTAAAAAAATTTTTTTTAGATAATGTAATTTTGTTAGGGCTGGGCAAAAAAAAATCGATTTTCCGATGATTCGTTTTTTAAATGACGTCACTTTGATATCGATTCTCAAAAGCCGCGAATCAATCTTTTCCAGTATTTATTTCAGCACACATTTAAAACGAGATCTGATTAACGTGAATCTTATCATTAGTCTTCTCCACTAGATGTCACCCTTATTTACCTTACGCGATGTTACAACAGAAATCCTGTCATTCATTCAGCGCTTAGCTTATCATGGCCATACGCGTGATTCGCAA